AAATAAAGTATTATTATCATTATTATTATCACGCTGAACACTACAGGAGACAAAACTCTTCCCTGCACAAACCCCCTACTTGTTCAAAACTCAGAATTCTTGCCACCTATGACAGCTGTTCTCACGTTTTTCATAAATGTTCTTAGGTGTCTCTAAGAGTCCTTTGGAAATAGCTGCTTTGCGTAATGGTTTACAAATTTCACATCTGCTTATAGTATGAACACAAGGCTTGGGCACTCTACTGTCAAAGGAGTATGCTGCACTATAATCAAGGAAATTACTCAAGGCAATAGGAAAGAGAAAATCGAAGCTCCTTGGGCACATATTGAGACATGACAACTTCCTCCAAAACATTTTTCAAGGTAAGGTATTGGGGAAAAAATCGAGGTGACGACCAAACAAGGTAAGGTGTTGGGGAAAAAATCGAGGTGACGACCAAGAATGTCCCACCTTAAGAACACGATCAGTGAGATGGGATGTGCTTCATACGCTGGCATAAAGATGATCGCAGAGGACCGAAGGATGTGGCTGCAGCGACAAGGCCTGGCCTTTAGGAAATGATATTTTATGGAACTTAGGTTGAAGGTAATGGGTTCGACTGGCTGAAAATACACTTCAATATCAGTTTTGTTGCAATAGTGATGAAAATTCAGAAACAGTAACAATAGAGAAAATTTACCAAATAGCTGAAAAATACCAGTTGCTTACTTAAATCCTTAGTATTCATTGTCACATTTTAGGATTTGGGCTTGTTATTGTACATCTAATTTCCACAAATTGCATTATGATACATGGATAAGATAAGACAGAATGGCATTTTTAACATTTCAATTAATTATATTTTATGCTTGCAACTTTTGAACCGTTACTCTTCAGTCTGCATGAAAGTTATAAGCCAGTAGCACGGAGATCCACCTGATAACGGACTGTAAACAAACATGTCGTGACGTACCTGAATTTCATAAGTATCTGATGAAGTATTGAGTCTCGCCTAATTCCTTTAGTTGTTCATCAAATGCCGTCCATAATTTATCTTCATGTGCACTGTCGTTGTGCTTTTCATGCGATACGGCATACAATTCTTCGTGTTTCCTACCTCATTCTATCAGTTTTTCACCAATTGTACAATTCAATGCGAATCTTAGACACACAAGCGGAAATTCAATCAGAAGCGAAAGTTTCATTTTTGGCTATTTAGCGACGTTCAGTGTCAGAAATTATTTTTTCAATTATTCTGCTAATGCAATTCATGCGTCTCTAAACTTATTTGTTAATCACATTATCCCTAAACTGCCAAGCAAACTTACAAGCGACCACAGAAGTAGCAAGAGTAATCTTTGCCCTATGATCGACGGTAGTACCAATCTCATAACATATTTGTTTGTATGAGTATAGAGGTTATTGTAATGAATGATAGTAGTTCGGAGTTTATTTTTGCATATGAATGCCTCATAGCTGCATGAAGTAGGCTGTTTATTTTACACAAATGATTTAGGTTCTAAGTAAGAGTATGTACAGCTTTCAAAGTGGTGTAATGGCCCAGATATTGTCGAAATTTTGGGGTAGATGACATCAGGCCAGCCCTAAACCTCTGGAACATGTATTAGCTAGCTAGTTAGAGGCATACATACAAATTCGTGTTTATTTTATACAGCATGGCGTGTTTTCTTAGTAATAGACGTGACACATCAGTAACGATACCAAATGTAGAGAAAAATGACAATATTGTTGTTTACATGATCAAGGTGAGAGTGGGCGTTATATCATGGACAGTGCTCCATCGATACAGTGATTTTCTTGATCTTCATGAGAAACTTGTCTCAGATCATGGGGTAGTAAAGGATATTTTACCACCAAAGAAAGTGATTGGAAATCGGGATCCAGCTTTTATCGAGAAAAGAAGAGGATCCCTAGAAGCATATCTGGCATCAGTTGTCAATTTCCTTCAGCGTGCGATGCCAAGAGAATTAGCATTATTTCTGGACTTCCATCTTTATGATATTCAGTTTCTACTACAAAACCTTGCCATGAATTTTTTTATAGCTGGGGATTCCTTGTTGCAGATGTCCAAGAGTTACTCATTCACTCCTTTTCAGGTACATTGGATTTATATTTTGTGACCACCACATGCATTAGACTAGCTCTAAAGTATTTTCCAATAAAATGTGGCTTGTAATGTTTAAGTTTTTGAAGGCCTGGCTTCAATGCAACTTCTGACTTTGGCTGTCAGATACTGATTTTCTTTTATTTATATGTCATATCATGATACACATGAGATGAGATAATTCAGTTCATATGGGTTAGATAATCGAGGTTTGATTTCTGGCAGGGACAAGAATTTTTCTCCTTGCTCCCAGTACTGGATTGATTCTGAGGCCTATCCAACCTCCTAGTCAATTGGTATGGGCTGTGGATTCTGGTTGGTACTTGTCATAAATGCACTGAAAATACAAAGATTGTTTTACAAAGAAACAGTTGAGTGATGACACATAATATTTTGGCCAGGAAGTCAGAGGAGGAGAGTCCACTGCAAAACTGAGCTGAATCATAAAACAACAAACAAACTGATGTAGAAGCACCTAAACTGAGCCAGCCTTACCAAAATACAGTTTTCTAATGTAAACAAACCAAATTTGACATGAATCTTTGAGGACAGTATGAAATAAAACTGACAAGGTAGCCGTGACATGTGACTGAACTTTACCTTAGCCCACCTGAGCTCCAAGATGAACAGCATGAAGGAAGAATGAGAGGAGAAGTATGTAATGTAGTTCGAAGAGGGGCATTGGCATGGTAGGAGGCAAATCTGCAAACAACCTGAATTTATTAAGAACACTGCAGTGGTAGTTCCCATATTTGTATTACCCCATGGTTTAGTAATAACTTACTTCCATGTAGACCGACTTTTTGGAAAAATGCAGAAACTTTCTCGGTAAGATTTTAGGTTCTCAATGTGGCAAGTGTGAACGTGGCTATCTTCTGGGTTGTAGCGCCATGTAGTATGGCAGAATACCCATGTTTCAGAGGTCCTTGATTCATCACTCTGATGATGGAGGCAGCAAGTACCTCTAAAATGTTGGTAAACTTCTACCAGACTACACGGAAGCTACAACCCAGAAGACTTTCTGAATTACGAGTTCAGGTATGAAATATAAGTAATGTGTACTCGGTTCAAAAATTTGTGGAAGTATATTTTTGCTTGATGTTTATAGTGTATGAAAATTAATTGTATATGGGTAATGTTTGTTTTGTTTTTTTCATTTCCAGCTCCATGCTGTCAGTGAAAGACTGAAGCAGCCGTGTCCTCCACTTGAAATTCTGGATTACAGACATGATTTTAGCCATGTATTGGATTTCTGTTGTCAACTCACAGATCTCACAATTGAAGGTAGTAATGTCCCCGTTGGTACCAGCAACATTATACCAAATAATCTTCTATTTGAACTGTCTGCTTTCAAAACAGTACGGAGATTGAACCTGGTCAGTTTTCCAGTTTGCAACATCTTCAGTATTGGTACGTTGCGCTGTACTGTGAACTCGCTGAACGTTCACAACGCTGCGCTCAAGGAAATCACGCAAGTTCTGTTATGTGACGACTTGCACAAAAATGTGATTCATACAGGAGAGTCTCACTCGTGGAAGAAGATTGTTGAAGCGGACTTCAGTCACAATGGAATTGAAACTATTGACGAAGGTGTGAAACTGATGCCAAGTATTGAATATTTAACGCTAAGTAACAATAAAATAGGTGCCTTGAGTAATTTGACATCATTACCCCATTTGTCACATCTCAGCCTTTCAGCAAATTGCTTCGCTGAAGCGAACGACTTCCACACGAAGCTCGGAAATATTCGTCACATTGATCTTTCTTTAAATAGCATTAGTTCATTGCAAGGATTCTCCAAACTCTACTCTCTGGAAGGTCTTGATCTGACATCAAATCTGGTATCTGATCTCTCAGAAATAAAGCATGTAAGTGGCTTGCCGTGCCTAGAAAATTTAATCCTGACGGGCAACCCGGTTGCTACAGCTGTTGATTACAGAGTACGAGCTCTTGAAAACTTTGGAGGAAGGGCAGCTGAAATTTGTCTGGATAATGAGAAGCCGACGCAGAAAGAGCTGGATACCGTTGCGGTCCTGCAAGCGATACGAATCGTGAAAGAAGGCAGAACACCTACTTTCGGTCCTGAAGCCCCGTCTTTTCCATAAAGTAAATATCCAATGTTTATTAAATATTATTGTTAACAGATATGTATTTTATAATGGTTGGTTTTAAATATTATGGTTAAAACATATGTTATAAATATAAGTTTATTATATTTGCTTACCTTTATATAAATGTTAAATACTGCTGCGTCTGATTTGATGTTAAAAGCTCACACTGAATAATACAAGCGGCATGTTGTGTACACTGCCACGTGCTGACAGCGTTTGCATTTAAAGACAAAATAAGCGCAGAATCTACATTATGTACCAGTGTAAGATTCCATGGTATGTTAATGACAGTGAAATATTTTTTTGAAGGAACAACCCCTTATCTCCACATAATTAACATACTGAAGTATTTTTAGAAGGTAATTATTTACGGAGCTATGAACTTACGGTATTTAACAACAAAGTGGCACATTATTTATTATCAGTGGTCATTACAGTGATGTGTATTGAAATAAACTGATTGTAAACATTAGTATAAAACGTAATTAGCCAAAGATTGTACATTTTTTGCATGTGATATTCTTGCCTTTACGACGACGTCTATTTCCACGTTGAACATGCTCTTAAATATTTATAAATCAGATGTTGCACTGTCCAAATGTGAAGGTAAAGAACAAATTCTAATACTCAGAATAAGTTTCCTAAGAAAGTATTTAAGGTTATGTGGATATTGTATCTAAAGTTATATATGAACTCTTGTTATTTAACCAAGCTTATATGAAAGTTTGAGATTTATAATTAGGTTATTCTTGTAAGTTCTCAGTTTAATGATGTCATATTTACAAAATGTACTGTAATTAAATGAGAGATTACATGATTAGTGGATTGAAAATTACAAGTGTAGCAGTGGCATTATGTACTTGTGTTCAGGAGGCACCCTGTATAGAAAACTTGGCTATCCTAATTTCATTATTTCCCTTAGTTTTTCCAGTTGAATGCCAGGATATAATGAACTTTGGGCTTCATAAAAGGTGGGAAATTTTCTGTCTAACTGAGCAACTGTTGTTACCTTCTCAAGACCCACTCTGCTGCATGCAGTTAGTGGCTAGACAGCCTACCAGAGTGACGAGTAACGGATCCAGAATGGCTGTAAAATCGTATGACATAAAACTACCTGTCTTTTGTAGATTGAGAGTCAGAACTGTTTTATGGGCATAGCAAATTATGAAACACCTTCATTCTGGGGATGTAATTGCATTTATTTTGCTACTGAGAGTTTATAGCACACTAGCAAAATGACCTCAGTGTTAGTTTGGGGAAACTGCACTCCTCAGATAATTTGCAGTACAAACTAGAATTCTATATTCACTATACAGCAGCAAACTGAGGAGTGTACGTAGATGTTCCTACATTAATTATAATCTATAAAGACAAAATAATATATCTGAAAGAGATTCTTTATTTCCTATCTTTTAATGATTATTATTATTATTTATTATTGACTGCAAATGGGTTTTTACCCGGTGGCAGTGGTCGTACAATAAGACACAACAAAAACAATAAGACACAAAAAACATAAGACACAACAAAAACAATAAGACACAAAAAACATAAGACACAACAAAAACAATAAGACACAAAAAACAATAAGACACAACAAAACATAAGACACTCAAAAAACAACAACTGACACACAATACAAAAACACAACAAAACAAAACAAAATGGAGTGCCTGAAAAAGGATTACTATGATAGGGTAAATAATGTATACCTTCATCACTTGGAGACTAAGACACTTCACTTCCCTTATCACCATCTCATCCCCACTTAATAACCCCTTGCTTGTAACTACTTTTCTGACCCTCCTTCTAAGGGTGCCTAATTTATAGGGGAAAGATTCTAGCACGCCTTGAGGTAATTGGTTGATGATGCACAACATAATAAAATATTAACATTATTCTTGAGAACGCAAATATAACATCCCTTTCTTGTTTTCTAGGGAGAGCCATGTTGTATTTCTTCTTAATGATAAGCCAACACAGTTTGTTTATAAACATTTGTTCTTTTTCCTGTGGGCGTCAGTATATGCAAGCCTTTTGCAGAAACAAGTCAAGTCTAACCATAGTCTAACAGGAAACTAAGCATTCAAATTGGCAGTCATAAGGAATTGGTAATACTCCGGAAACAAAGTTTCTCCTTTTGCATACCTGTAAAAACGATGGCTTCTCTTATATTCTTGAGGTTTTAGTCGTTATTTCGTCACCTGTAGCATTTTTCGCGACTGATTCTTTTGTAACATATAAAGTACATTTTGTTACTACCTCATAGCATCCAGAATTCCCTCCTCTGTATATCTTACCATTAATAAGATTCAATGTATCCCATTAATGTTAACTCAATTTAAGTAATTATTTCTGTGATAAATTAATATGCGAATGTTGTAAATGGAACTGATGGCTGCTAATTCAGCACTGTTTAGAAATCCCAATGTGTTTTAATATAATCAACAAGTTACTCTTAAGTCAACGTTGATGTTCATTTACCTCTAGATGATAAAAAAACGCAGTGGAACAAACGGTCTCTGTCGTAAATAAATATTACTTGAGAAGAATCCATTTTTATCTTCTGGCACGATATTATTTATGAATCTGAAATATATGATGGAAATTCACTCACACATGTTCCAGTGTGGTGCAGTTTTGATATCATAAGCCTGTGAGAATGGGCCATGGCTTAGTTGAGCTAATCCACTTTACACAAACTGCCTTAATTATTATAAAATAACAATTACATTTACTCTTCCCATAACGTCCTCACTGAAAGAAAATCTGCGTCTTACCTACGTTCTTGTATCATCAATAATTACCGATGAATGGAACCCAGGAGACAGTGACCTTTGTTCCTGTAACCTCATTGCTGAATGAGTTTGTTTTGCCTCTGGTGGCATCCTTGAAGCGAGCTTAGTTTCCAACTTCCAGGAACCATACTCACTATGACTCACACCCTGAATCCTTTTTTCAAGTGTTGACATTTCTGAAACCTTTTCCTGGTTTCAACACAAAAGTAGGCCAAATCCTTAGCAAAGTGGTACATTCCTTCTCAAACTATAGGTGAATTGCACAAACAACTTCAGTTTCATAAACGTATCACTTGCAAAACTGTAAATCTGGGAATTTGTTATTTGAAGATTTTTGTTGCGGGGAGGTTCTGATTTCAGAGTGAGCTGAATGATACAGACACAACTATTCTGAATTTTATAAATATATAATCATATTTGTAATAATGTATTTACATTTATTCAACATTTTTGTGAACTGTACATTATTTTATTTCAGCCATAAATGCAACTGAATCTTGATTTTTTAAAAAGGTGATATAATTTAAGGGGGAATGATGATGCTCGCACCATTTAAAATAACATTTTAGATCTCATGATCAGTAGTTACAGTTAAAGTAATATAACCTGAAGTTCTGAGCACATTAAAGCAAAGTGACTAGCAAATTATGTCATTACATAACGCTATACATACTGGTGCTCAAACTTCCTTCATTACTTACTTTAATGCTTCAAGTCTTCACAGATTTTGAGCTATATTTCACACACGTCGATGGTAAAAAGTTTATGGAAAACTCAATGTACTATTAACATTTATAAGTTACTATAAAAATCCCATTTCTGCAAATACTAATAAAATGGTACCCAAACACAAGTACCATAATGAAAAGGGTGTACTTGTGTCTAGAGACCAAGCTTGTCTCGTAAACCTCGTCCACCTAGAAGCATCGCTGATGGATCTTCCAACATTTCTCGAACAACTCCTAAGAATTCAGAGGCTATTTCTTCATCTACTGCTCGACCGTCATATGACAATGTGATTTTCATCTTTGTAACAGGGTTTCTCTCTTCATCTGTAAACAAAATAATACAACATTAGAGAAAAACCTCTTGGACAGCTCAATGTCTGATCAAAGTCAGGAACATTCTCCAAACGATCATACTTTAAAATACTAATAATTTCAAACTTGGTTAGTCTAAAATTCAAAGGCATTTTTTATTCCTGTTGGGAGTTAACTTAATTCTTAACTATAAAGCCACATAAAAGAGAGGACACATGGCAATTACTAATTGAAGATAGAAAACATTTCTTCTACGAGGCGCGTCCACAAAGTAAGTTTCCCACTCGTCCCACAGCTAGCAAACCTTATATTGAGCGAAGCGACTGTGCGTACGTGATAGAGCAATGACGTAGCATGGCGCATGCACTAA